TCATAATTGGAATATAGACATACATGAGATATTCATAAAAAAACGAACTTTAATCTATTGCATGCTATTGTCATTATTTTTAGATTAAAACATAATCATAATATAGAAAGGAATTTGGGAAATGATCGTGAAAATGAATGTTTATCATAATTCTCCCTTTCATTTTGAAATGATGAATTTAGTACTCGTGATTTTTGACCAAATTTAGTACTCGTGATTTTTGACCAAGAATTACGATTAGTTGTAAATTGAAGGTCTTGTGTACAGTTTAAGCTTTTGAAAACAAGGAACTTTTCAAAATTCGGGTTTAGTCGTTTTTTTCATTGGTTCTCTACAGTTGAAATTCGACGTTTTAACCACAGAAAATACCCATAACTGCCCTTTTCGTGTATTTGTTGTTGTTAATTACGACTATGAGGATGCAGTCTTTTGAGCATTTTAATTTTTTTCGATTTTGGTTTAGATTTCACCAGATGGAGATCGCTTATTCACTGGGTCTAATGATCAGACAGTTCGAAGCTACAACATCAAGGTGAACACTAGAAGTGATTATATAAATCCAGGATGATGCTAGCGTNACGAAAGACTTGGCGGCGATCTTGCCGACAGGCTTCGGAAAAAGTTTAATCTTTCAAGTGCTGGTTCTGTTGTCTCGCTTCGAGCTTCGCTTCCAAGAGATCTCTCCTCTTGTTATAGTTATTTCTTCGTTAGTTAGTATTATAAATGACCAGATCTTGGAAATAGATTCAGTCTTGGACTCAAGGGATGTAATCTGGTTGACGCAATTGACAATTTAGACATGTTATCGAGTGTAGATGTTATATATGCTTCCGCCGAAAGTGCTTTGGACAGACGCTTCACGGACTTTTTCATAGACAAGGACAATAAAAGTTTTGTTTCAAGAATATTGTGGCTCTGGTTGTTGATGGTGTAGCATGTTTACAAAAATATTTGACAGTTCTCATGTCCGTTGACCTCGCGACCTCATACTGATAGCGCTTCGTGATTGGTTTATTTTGACAACTGTAAAGTTAGATTTGCCAGACTTTTGAAAATATTAATTAGGGGGCGTTTTGTAAAACCKTGGGGTCCGCTTGCAGGCCCTTCCTATTTTCCTCCCCACTCCCCGCACGGCCGGCCCTCCCCAATCCCCTTAGGGCCGCTACGCAGGCTACCGTAAACTAGTGTGAGCTGCGTCGGTATTTCTAAGGAAACAGTTGTGTAAAAGATAAATTTAACACCTACTTTTTAACGGTGTTAAATTTATCTTTTTACACAACTGTTTGTTGTATACCAGTACACTCATTAGTGGATCCAAATAACTGATTTGTACAAAAATTACACACTACCCCCCCCCCCCCCTGAGATCAATTTATGCACTTTATAAAATCTTGGTGGTTATCAATTCTTAGTGGCTTTCACAGATCACGTGATAAAAAAAGCTATTTAGAGACCAAATTAGCGAAATTTTATTATTGTCCTCGAGAAAACATCTAAATTAAAGGTAGATCACTAACAGATCTTGAGCCAAAATATTGATTTTTAAGAGAAATACGAGCGATCGAAAATTGGTAAGAATTATCACGGCTCAATGCGATTTTGGACTGGTCAAGAAATACTTACAAAAAGCTTTGTTTTAAGATCTAAATGAATTTTTTAAGGCCAAGGACCAAAAAAGCATATTATTCTCAACAGTTTTGCAAAGTTTGAATTCAAACTGTGATTTTGTAGCAAAAATATAAGCGTTTGAATACGGTCTTACTTTACAAAGAAATGTATGGGAAAGTCATGAGGGTACCCTAATCAGGGACACGAACATGGCGCCTCCGAATGTCGAATTGAGCTCAAAACTAATGATTTTACTTTGTTTACATTTCTGTCCAACCACTAAACGTGACTTGTTTAATCGCTTCAAGATTTATTTTGTAAAAAGCTTTTTACAACCATAAGTTTGCCGATTGCTTTAAGAAAGCGTACGTAAGCATTGATTGGGTGTTAGCTATACAAAAATACCCATTATTCACATAGTGAATGTTTACTCTACCCTCCTCTGGTGTCTACTACACAAAGCGTTTGGGTTTCCTGTTTTGGTAGTCGGTACGAGGAGAATTGGTACCTAGTAAAAAAAAGGGGGGGGGAGGTACTTTATATAGTAATGCTATCATCATCATTCCTATTACGCCTAGGTGGCATGTAGGGCCGCTACTAAGAATTTCAGTAATAGTAATGCTATAGTGGTATTATATCCGTGTCATCTATACACTTGTTATCTTCTCCGCTACTAGGAGTCGTTCTTGTGCGCTTGTAGTGTAATAATCATCGGGTGTTTGTTTAGATTTAAATTGCAATCCATAACAAGTTAATGCGGTTAATTTGCGAGTTGTAACGACTGGGATACCATCAGACGATGTGGTTGTGGATGTGTAGTCTGAATTGGTAACAAGATGAACGTCTTTAGTAGATGAGCTTATTCTTACTGTTTCTCTCATAACATCCTTTGGAGGAATTAAAAACATGATGAGAGACGATAGAGTCATTACTCCCCCCGTGACATAAAAAGCTGTGTTGTAACTCTGTGATACATCAAAGATCCACCCAGCAACAGGCGGANAACGAAGGAGGAGCGTGGGCTCTATAACTAGATTACAGCGTCCAAAGCTGAAAGGATTGGGCTTGAGATGCTCTGGGAGGCTCTAGCTCTGGAATATTTATGTTTTCTCTCATTGTGTTTAGACTGGTTCCTGTTCACATAAGTTCACTTTCGATGGTCGTGTCATGTGTCTTCATATTGGTTTTGGTTTTCTTTAYGTTGGACTGAGTACTGGTACCGTTACCATCGTAGATTTAATGGTAAGTTTATGTGATAACCTGCTGGGGCTTGGAATCGAGTAGGACCCAGGCCCCGGCAGAAAATGTGATAGTCTCTACCTGTTCACTCATTAGGAGATCTAACTAACTGGTTTGTAAAAAAATTGCACACTTCCTCCCCCCTGAGATCAATTTATGCATTTTCGGTAATAGCCGCATTAGATGTCTGATCACGTGATAGTCTAAAAAAAGCTTTTTAGAGATCAAATTAGGGAAATTATATCATTGTCCTCGAGAGAACATTTAAATTAAAGGTGGATCATTACCAAATTTTGAGCCAAAATAATGATTTTTAACAGAAATATGAGCGATCGAAAATTGTAAGAATTATCACGGCTCAATGCGTTTTAGACTGGTCAAGAAATACCTACAAAATGCTTTGTTTTAATATCCAAATGAATTTTTTAAGTCCAAGGCCCAAAAAAGCATATAATTCCACAGTTATGCAAAGTTTAAATTCAAACTATGATTTCGTAGCAAAAATATTAGCGTTTGAATACGGTCTTACTTTACAAAGAAATGTATGGGAAAGTCATGAGGGTGCCCTAATCTGTGACACAAACATGGCGACTCCGAATGTCGAATTGAGCTCAAAACTAATGATTTTACTTTGTTTACATTTCTGTCCAACCACTAAACGTGACTTGTTTGATCGCTTCAAGATTTATTTTGTAAAAAGCTTTTTACCATAAGTTTGCCGATTGCTTTAAGAAAGCGTACGTAAGCATTGATTGGGTGTTAGCTATACAAAAATACCCATTATTCACATAGTGAATGTTTACACAAAGCGTTTGGGCTTCCTGTTTTGGTAGTCGGTACGAGGAGAACTGGTACCTAGTAAAAAAGGGGGGGGAGGTACTTTATATAGTAATGCTATAGTGGTATGATAGCCGTGTCATCTATACACTTGTTATCTTCTCCGCTACTAGGAGTCGTTCTTGTGCGCTTGTAGTGTAATAATCATCGGGTGTTTGTTTAGATTTAAATTGCAATCCATAACAAGTTAATGCCGTTAATTTGCGAGTTGTAACGACTGGGATACCATCAGACGATGTGGTTGTGGATGTGTAGTCTGAATTGGTAACAAGATGAACGTCTTTAGCAGATGAGCTTATTCTTATTGTTTCTCTCATAACATCCTTTGGAGGAATTAAAAACATGATGAGAGACGATAGAGTCATTACTCCCCCCGTGACATAAAAAGCTGTGTTGTAACTCTGTGATACATCGAAGATCCACCCAGCAACAGGCGGACCRATAGTCTTAGGTATGGCCAACACACAGTAAAGAGTGCCTATCGCTGTCGGCGTCAGCTTAAAACCMACGATGTCACTAGTGATAACTGGAACCAACATCTCATAGCAACCATCAAAAACACCAAATGCGAAGGCTAACACCACAAGCCACGTAAAAGAGTTTGCTATTGTCACCAAAGTACAAACAACCCCCATTGAAAGAATCGAGAATTGACAAGCGAGGATGCGGTTGCATTTCGGATGATCGCTYAGTCGACCAAATGTCAAGCAGCCAATGAACCCCCCTGAAGCCATGMATCCCGAAAGAAGTGAAGAYTTCCCTTTGCCAGTGTGTATGTCTTCAGCTAGTTTGACCTTGGGAAGAAAATAAAGGACAATTTCAATGGCTATTTCCGGTATGTGTTGCACGAGTGMTGGTGAGTGACACTAGTGGTGTTGGGGCTTCCCTTTGTGCATAACAGTCAGCAGTGAGAAGTGTAAACTTCACACTGCGCGCTACATGTATTTGAGATGGCTAAGAAACATTACCCTGGCTGAAGTTACAAATTTTACAGCGCTCTAGAATTTTCTGACGTTGATTAAAGCTGAGAAACATCAAAAATACATGTAGMCATAATGTATCCTCAAGCTTTGATCATCAACCCGTACATTAATTTTATTAGCCAGACAACAACCGTGTMCACTAATAGCATTGTAAATGCTGGAATGGACTTTTTGACTGGACTATTGGACTGGACCTCGTAATGAATCTCGATGAAAKGTATACGTAAAACGTATCCAAAAAACTCAAATTCTCAAATATCGGTCCAAAGTCCATTTCGWGTCTCCAGTCCAGAATTTAGTAAAGTCCGATTCCTGTTTTACAATGAAACTAGAGGAAATCCGCTTAAAGCGATGTCATGTCTCCTGCGGAAACCGCAAAAGAGTTCAAGTTCTTCAACTTACCAGATGCACAAAGGGMACCAAGAAAACCAGCATGAGTGTACATAGTGCCGTCAGCCATAGTACATATCCTTTGTGCTTCATTAGAGTCCGTAGAGAATTCCCCACCGATTGGTGATTGAGTTTTTTATCGCGCTTTTCTTCRTTTAACGGCCGATACARTAATCCTGAAAATATCACTAGAACATTTAACGCTCCCAAAAATCGAAACATGTTCGGTGTACCRAATTTCTCTGAGAAGATTTGYACAAGTGGACCAAGCGCCACTCCTCCGATTGCTGCCCCGCAYAGCGCTATGCCSGTCACTAGGGCAAGTCTGCGGCGAAAGTATTTGGTTAACATCACCAATGACGGGAATAATCCAAAGCTCGTTCCTATGCCCCAACATAGACCATATGTGAAGTATAAAGGAATAAGACTGTGAGAAAACGACGATAATGCCAGGCCGATTGCCGATAGCAGCCCCCCTAAGATAACCACTATACGGCAGCCGAAACGTTCCGCGAGAAATGTGCCGACTGGAGCGAAAAAGTACATTATACTTGATGATGAACCAGTGACCCAAGCTGAGGAGAAAGAAAATGTTTTATATATGTAAATTTAAAAAGTAAGATAAATTAAATGCGCTTTGTTTAATTTGTTCAACGACAGTAACAAGTTCAAGGGGATTTAATTTATACTATCTAAGACTCTATATTTATGAATACGCCGATATCCTATAGGCTCCAAACACCACAAATGTCTTGTTTTGAACCGATTTTTGTTTTCTTGATTGGATAAAAAAGTTTTGATGCAAGTCTGACCTTGGGCAGAAGTGGTTTCTATGGGAATAGTAGAATTGGACTTTGAGCATCCAGTCGATTTATCTCATTATAACTAGAATCACTCGTGAACGTAATAAAACGTCTATTTCAGTAAAGAATTATTCATTGGGAAGTGAAAAGCAAAACGGAACAATAATTTGTGGCAAAAATCGCACTGGTAAATAACACTAATTTTGATTTGCTTATAAAAATATAATCTCAGGTAAAACTAAGAGCTCTTCTAAGAATTAATATCCTAAGTATTTTGTGGCTTTATATATTTTGCAAAACGTAATGGTTTGGTATTAAAATTAATCTTAAAATAACCATATTATTCTTGGTGTACCTGTTTCTGCGCGCTTAGTACCATATTCATCCACGAGAACGGAATAAATTACGCCGGCAATATTTTGCTGCCCAACTGTTAAAATATGAACAGTGAATGCTCCAAAGCAGACAATCCATCCCCATCCGCCATCAATCTTGGAATTGYATTTTTGTTTCCCATGTTCGATGCTCGGAGAACTATCTTCTCCCATTGCACAGACCAAGTGCTGTTCCTGCAGAGAGAAATATAWACCGAACATTTGCATGTGGTCACGAATGTTTACCAACAGGGGGTAGCTTGTCTAATTTTTTTWAMCYYMAWTYCSGG